AAGCTAAAAATAACAGGCTGAATACTGAACTGGTGTAGTTTCAAAAGAGGCAGTAGCGATAGCAACAACAAAGGCAGCACTAAAGTCAGCAGCAGTAGTAGTACCAAAAATGAATTCCTTCCAAAAAAATACAACCAAACAGATCCTCAGAATTAACGATTACAATAACCAAAATAGCAAGAACGTCAAAAACAAAACGAAAAATCTCCCCAAAACCAAAACAACTCCAAAGAAAGGAAATCCAGCATTATAGAGTTTTGATCGAAAAACAAAATGATAAAAGCATTAGAAATTAATTCGCCAGCTTGAAATGAAATGAAAATACTGCATAGTTTCCGAAGTATTCCTATTGCCGAAACCAATGATTATACGTCACTGGGCGAAACTGTCTTAGTAAGAGAAGGCCTATATTTTCTTTGCCACCTCGTGAAGAAAGACCAGTTTATTATTTGAAGCGAATCAAGCGTCCCACCCCTTTTTTTTTCTTTTTTTTTTTTTGGCCTAGCCAAAGTCAAGATAATTCCTGAAACAATGAAAACCACCATTCCGTTTAATTGAAGAGACAAGCTCCGAGCAACCGCGTGTCGTAAATCACGTGATGAAATCACTACTCATTCTTTCCAGCATCCAATCATTGGATCGATAAACACATCAAGTAATCAATTGCAATTGATATCTTTTGGTGTTAGAGTTTTTGTTCCTGTCAATCGACTGAAGGGAAAATAGAAGCGATGCAAAGGAGAAAATACTGAGCGAGGGTGAAAAAAAAAGGATGGGGGGGGGGGGGGGGTAGAAAGTAGGTTGAGGGAGGGGAGGGGGTAGTAGGAAAGGTCATGAAACAGACGTGTTGACAAGAGGAAAGGAAAGAATGAACTAAAAAGAGCTTGGAATTTTTGAAGTATGGAAGCTGGGGAGCAATAAATAACCGCAGCGGATAAGCAAAGAATTGCGCCGAAAAGTGCTAAAATCTCAAGTGCGGTTATTGTGTTATATTCAAGCAGAGTTCGTGCAAACAGAGAACAGATTCGACCTCAGCTCGAGGCAGATTAAACATTAGATTAGTGTCGATCGAAACCGGGCGCAAATCGGAGCTGCGAACCATATAAACAATACGTCTATTCTCTAACAAACTTTGTCGAGTGAGACAATGCGGACGCCGAACTTATCTCTCCTCCTCCCTCCCTTTGTCCTTCCCTCCTAACGTGTGTGCGTTTATCAGATGGTAGGTAATGATGCTGTCTGTGTGTGTGAGAGAGACACAGGGAACCATTCCCGATCATTTCCACGGTCACTGTTTTCGCTTGAAAAAAAACCAAACCACACAGCATTCAGAACCTTTTCTCAAGAATGTTTCTAGCAGTGAGGTGGGTATTGGTGGCGCCTGATTGTTCCTCTGGTTTTGAGAAATGGTGCCATAAGAATAAGTATGAATTCCCAACGACGTAGACGGGAACAAAATTCTCACAGGCGGCTTCCTAGATATCTTTCCTGAAGAAAATAAATACGAAAATAATAATGAACGAAACCCAACAATAAGGGAAGTATTTTTTTCACAATCGAACCAAAGTTAAAAGCGCGCGTAGAGTATTGTGTTCGATTGTTCGCTCAGTCTCGACAAAAAGGACCATAGAAACTATTTTGGCTCAGAGACAGAGAGAGTGAGGTAACAGCCCCAGTGCAGCTGGCTTCTCTTGCAGATTCCCAACTGAGCAGAACCACTAATGTAAACGCAGCCCCAAGAAAATGGTCGTGATGATGTAAACTTAAATTAATTTGAATTGTTTGGGAACGAGGACGCAGGAACAACCTGTTTGCCTTTTGTTGTAATTGGCAAAACAACAATTAACAGACATGCTACTGTTCTCACTCTGTTTATTTTTCAACGAAGTTTTTCAGTTTTTCAGTTCCCAAATCACATTCAGTCCACTGGAAGCGTGCAGATTTTCGTATGTGTGAGTGTGTGTGTGTATGTGTGTGTGTGTGTGTGTGTGTGTGTG